CTCCAGAGAAAAAAAAGTTTTGATATGTTGTAGAACTGATTTTTCTAAGACAGAAAAAAGTAGTTGTAAATGAGATACAGATTTTTTGATATTTAAAAATTGGGGGAAAAGGTGTAAATATGGGCGGTTACGCCCCTTTTTCCACCAGTTTTTAAATATTCAAAAATATTATTCACCATTCCCCAGTTTTTCGTCAAACAACTTTTTTCTGTCTTAGAAAAATCAGTTCTACAACATATCAAAAATTTTTTTTTCCTCCGGAGTCTGATTTTAAAAACTCTGAACCCAAAAATCAAGGAAAATCGGAACCCATTCCTCTTGGTTCGAAAGCCACTTGCGTCTCTTCCACCTGTATTATTATTCTTAAATTTGCCCATTAACACCTACTGTTCTGTAACATACACTGACCTTTGATCATTGGTGGACAAAGACAAGCCAAACCAGTCAATCTTCGCAAAAATTTATTTATTAGTTGTCAATACATGGTTAAACAGTAAAATGAGAGCCATAAAATGATAAAAGCATCATTTAAATCCAACATTTCATTATGAAGTTTAAACAAGAGTTTAACATACAGCTGTTTTAAAGAACAATATCTGAGAAATCAGCCTTCAAAGTTTACGATTTGGGGAATTTCTCAAGCAGAAACCATCACCAAATCATTGAAAATTGTTGTTTTAACATTGGAAATGGAAAAACAACCACATAGCATAATGTAGGTTTATAAAGTTTACGGCAATAAAATAGATTTCAAAACTTTTGACATTTCAGCATGTTTTGGCCATTATCTCTGGAACACGATTTGCTTTGCAATGTGCGACTGGTTTGGCTTGTCTTTGCCACATATTTTTAAAATTTTTGGTGACATAAATTTTTAATTTAAATATTACTATTATAATTATTAATATTATTACAATATTATTAAAATTTTCAATTTTTTTTCTATGAATTGCCAATTAACAAGTTCAACAATTTTCCATTGAAAATATTGGACAATGAGGTATCAAGAATATTGCATTTTTGAAGATGATGTCATACAGTAGTATAATCCTATTCATAGCTGTTACCAAGGTGAATTTTTAAATGTAAACAAATTTTAAAAACCAAAACCAAACAAAATAGTAGTGTACCGTTTAACGGCATCCAACTGTTTGATGTCTACAACAGCAGGCAGTCCGCCGCTACACGACTGACTGTAACCTCAGTCTAATACTTCAATCAAGGAAGTTCATTTCACAGTCATAGGGATATATGCCAAAAATAGCTAAATGATTCAAGCTAAAATATTTCTCAGGTATGAGAGTGGAAGGTTGAAACTTTGTGTCTGTTACTATTAAGATGTATTAGGAGAGATTTTGAAGTTAGAAGGCTTGAGTGAACAATGACAGGGACTGATAGACAGCTTTGTTTAAATCATCAATAATTTAACCATTTATCGTCTGTGATATTATAAAAAAAATTTTAAGAAGTGTAATAAAAAAAAAATTGTATGAATTTGTCAATGAACAACAATTTTCCAATGTAAATATTTAACAATAAGGTAACATGAACATCTAATTTTTAAAAGATGATGTCATAGCATAATTCTATCCATCTACCTTGGTGACTTTAACAATGTTTTTAATTATTTATGGACATTTTACTCCACAGTATGTACTAATTTTAACTTCAGATTTCAAGATCTATACAAACAAAAAAATATCAATGATGATCATAAAGATATAATAAGAATATAACAGCACTAACATCAATGCATTCGATGTTCGAAATATGCAAAGCTGTGTGTACTCAAAAAGATGGCTGTCGTAGATGCAGGCAATCAAAATACGCTTAAAGCATTGTTTTCAAAATTGTGCCCACAATTTTCAGTTGAAAATTTTGCTTACAGCTTTGATATACAGGTTTTATTATTTTGATATACTGTACAGCAATTTTCAATTGAAAGTCAGGTTTAAAATATTGTATAGCGGCAATTCAGATATTGAATTTTATTTGTTTTTCAGCTGATCGTCTTTTTTACCTTTATCTTCACTAAATAATTTTATAATGCAGAGACTCAAATGTTCATTACTGTAAATTTGATCGATACACTTTAAATGGACAAAGGTTAGCCAATATCTATGCAAAATATATGTAGTTATATAATATAACCACCCGTGATGCCTTTTATTACACAACACTAGCATCAAAACAGGAAGTGAATTGGTCATTATTACCTCAGGAGACAATCATACTCCTTTCAGAATACGATTCTTTTCCCTACACATTGCCAAATGTATGCAAGATTAACACAGAAATGCAGGCCTACTACCCAAAGGATGAGGGTATTGTCGAAAATATCTTTTTTCTAGACTCCATCCAATCGAAGATTCAGTAAAAATTGGCAGCAGTTGCAGCGCCAGGAGGGATCGGGGTTGGGGGGTCCTGGCCAGGTTCCTATTGCAGAAGCCAATCACTTTGTTGGAGAACATAGCTTTGTAAAAAACATGTTTACAGTCAGAGAATGCAATTTTTGGGCATTTAGATGTGCCTATTCTTACAATTTGCTCCAAATTTGGTGGGCCTACTGTATTATATTGTGTCAGAGAACCTGGACTCCTTTCCTTGTCAGGGAATTTCTGGCACAGGCACCGACTGGTACAGTTTGTTACCACTGTGTCACCACTATCTGTGATCCTCAATAAATTTACAATCATTACTATATAGTAGTGGTATCAATAAACATGACCCTGAATTTAATAGGTAAGCTTAAACCAGAAACTCCAATCCTAAAAAATACAACTGTATTTCAACATAATAAACTTTTCAAATTTACGCTGTTGTACAAAAGGTTGTGGTAAAAATGTTTAAAAAAACAATTTTTAGAATGATGTAAAAATTGTGTATTGTCATTGACGCCATAGATTTTTCATTATCAATATTTCTATTTTTTTCGCAGTGCCTTTCAATACTTGGATTACAGTAGTATTATACTTCTTATCTGAGAATTATCATTGGAACTTTCGGTTTGTGAAAAAATACGAAACACAAATCTAGTTATACAATGTTATCACTAATAATACATTTTTGTATGGTGGGTTGGGCATAAAAGTCAACATGCTTCCTATCACATTTCGTGATTTCAAAAATTTGAGCCCAATGGCAACAAAAAAATGTGCGAGAAACACCTGTACTGGATCATGTATGCACAAGCAAACAAATGTGAAATTGATTTTGATTATTGCGATGTTGACAAGTTGAATTTGAGGTGTCTAAAAACATTAAAAAGAGTTTGTTTCAAAGCTGAAATCAACACCTGCCCGATATCCTGCCATTATTTACCATCGATGCAACAGCAGAAAAGGATCTTTCTAATATTAACTGTAATAAGATTGTGGATTATTAAATATGTCAGTTAAATGATTTTTGTATGTTTTTTTTTTTATTGACATTGTCATTAAAACGATGAAAGGTCCAACTTCTAATTGTTGAACTGCTGAACTGAAACCCTTGAACTACAGTACTGTATGTATGCTTAATAAATTTCTCAGTAGCGCTAGTCGATTTATAACGCGCAAACAAATATAAATATAGACAATTTATAGATTATATTTGATAAACTACATTGGCCTGGCAAAACCGCTGGCGTGCACACTCCACTGGTTGGCTAAAGATTTGGTGAGTACAGGTATGACAAATGCATAGGAATCAGGAAATTTGTTGTCTTTTTTCTTTATTGTGCCAAAAATTCAAAAGCTACATGGGAGAAATTCACATAGTAGGCCTCTACAATATAATTTCCTAGATTTTTAAATTTTTTTGTTGATTCCTTTTATATATAGGCCTAACTATGTCTTACAGGTACTGTATGTAAATTTTATTCATGTAGCTTTCTTATTTAACTAAAAAAAGATCTATGCCAGTTTCCTGATTTCCTGTGCACTTGTTATATACTCGCCGAATCTTTTGTCTACTGTACCACTGGAGTGCACCTCCAGCATTTTTTAGCCTGGCCAAAGTAAATATTAAGAAAAATTTGTTAGACTATTAATTTATGAAAAAAATCCTATCTTTTTGAAAGAGGAGCAGATAGGGTCTGTTTTCTTTTTTCTATTGACTAGGCCTTTGCCAGGCTTAGAAACAAATATCCTACTAGAGGTCATGTCAAGAGGTCAAACTTTTTAGCGGTCACTATTTGCATTGAACCATGAATATGCTTCTAAATCCTTGGGTCACTACTGTAATCCCATCTCGCTGAGATCCTTGTGTCTGCTGGAGGGCTAAAATGCAAGTGTAACATATATCACACAGTTTTAAAAAAAAAGAGAGAGTTGGTACCGAGTATCGTATGTCCTATGTACAGTACGTACTGAAGAACACTGTAAACCCTTCAAACAAAAGCAATGAAGTGTTGTTCCCAAGTCACCAGCGATAGGAGGAGCCCATAAGAAATAAGTCTGTTACTTTTCCTAATGTGTTCAGGTGTGTTTCATATAACATGTTTTGGATTGTGAAATTTAAAAAAAAAAGGTTTTTCCACTCAAGAAAAAGGTTGCATAATTTGTTTTGACTGCAAGAATAAAAGATAAATTTGTATCCTGACATTACAACATAGACAGTATTTTGTCATTTCAGTTTTGATTATTCATTATTTTGATTGAACATTGTTTTATGTAACAAACATCTCAAGTAATTACAATACTTAAGTCTAATTTTTCGTGAAGTACATTCTTAAGTACCCGTTCCTGCAGTAAAATGAATTTTTATGTTTAAATAGTTATAAAAAATTTCCAGCAGTTTAGCCATTGCTCATAATGTCTATAGTTAGTAGTTTCGAATATGAAACTACTAAACAGTCTACTTCATGAATACTTACCTGGATAAACCTACTAATTGCCTATTCTTTCTCATTCTTTTTTAAGGGGTGTTTCTCGTGTGAGAAAGAATAGGCAGTTTATCCAGGTATAAAGTATCCACTCATAGACTACCAACATCACCTTTGATTTGTGTAATTCACTTACCTGTGCTCTCTGTTATCATCTGGAAGCTCGGGCTCTTTGCAACCTTCTCGTTTCTGTTGAAATTGTGCAACTAATTTCTGTAAACTCTGAAACAATAAAAAATATTTCAGTTACATTATTTTCAAACTACAGATTTCCCTCTAATTAAAGACCACCTTCAATTAAAACCACTCCTTTGGTTTTAAATTAGTATAAATGGCTTTTACTTTTATTATTCTAGACCAAAGCTGCCAAAGACTATGGAAACTCCAGTCCCAAGAGTGGTCGTTAATTGGAGAAAGGCCAGTATAACTTAAACATCAGAGGCAAACAAAATTAAATTCAAATCGTCAAAGTAGTCAATAGTTGATACGTACATAGGTTTCCGGCACGTATCTCCAACATTGGATACAGACTAGGCCTACAGTTTGTGGATGCGGCCAAAGAATAATATTAATTATATTTATTTGACATTACACTTTTACAACAGTGGCAGCACACAAGAAAGTGGTGCAGTCAAACTTAAACTAATGAACAAAGAGGAAAACAACAACTTAAAGCTAAACAAATGAAAGAACTAATAACTAAAGAAAATACAATTAAGAGTTTCAATAAATCATAAACATCCCTGACCCTCCCCACACAAATAATGTACATAATACACATAATACTAGGGTTATTTTAACACAAAATATGTACAAGATGACCAAAAAAGTGAAATACCTAGGCCTAAAAAAAGATCTAGCCCTCCTACTACTACACTTCTTCCCAAAGGGAAAATGTTATTTATTTTTATATGTAGCTAAGAAAATATGAATGAAAGATGTTCTTTAATGACAATATATTTTAAAATTTCACTGATACACTGCCTAATCATATCCACCTTTAAAGAGGTTCAAGAGAAATAAAAAAAAATGATAATTTAATTTTATAAATCCTTAAATTAAATAATTAACTTTGACACTCAATAAAAATTCTTATCAAAAGTCGGAAACAGCCTTGGTAAGTTGGCATTAAGCCTGTTTTTTTTTGTTTTTTTTTTTGCATTCCTAGGCCCCCTTTAGAATTGCTGCATGGGGGGGGGGGGCGAGCAAGCAACTATCTCCATGAATTTTAATTATTTCCCCATGACTATCCAGTTTTATCACGTGTTAGCAATAGCATTGGGCCTTCAGCCAACCCTGTCTAGTTTTAAATTTCCATTACATCATCACCATATTGACAGATCAACACAAGGCAATACGTCGATGATTAATGTTCAAGGAAGTGATTTAGAGAAATAAGATTTGCAAATAATCTAAATTCATACTCTGTATTCATGGTGGGATACCCTCACTGCTGATACAGTAATGTATCCTACATAATGTGTGGGATGTGTAATACTAATATTATAAATACCACAATACTCAAACAGTCATAAATCCCTTAACTGTACATTTATCAGTAGTGGGGGTAAAAATGTCAAAATCACAAAATCACATGATCACCTGAAACTACTGGCCAGGCAGATACTGTAGAGCAAATTCAATTTTAAGGAACTGTGCAGTGTGTTTGGTATTTTATATCAAATGTTTTTTTTTTCCCAAACAATTTTTTGTTATTTATATCGTAACGTCGTCAATCGCCAAAATTAACATTTGTAAAATATAGAGTTCGTACTTTGTAAGGACCGTCAGCTGACGTGATTGTATGGAGAATGCAACGCCATGATGCAAAGGCAACGGATCATTTTAATGACGATTCATTTAGACTGCCTCTGACAATCATCATTGCATCGTCCAACGTTCACAGGGATTCGTTGGCAGACGGCTGCGCAACCGCAGAAGGCGCCAGGCCTAAGAGAACATTAACACAGCGACTTTATTAATCGATGTCACTTAAAGTCCTTGACTTGTTCAGAGTAAAGGACTTTATAGAAAATTAAGACACAAACTATGAATATAAATGAAAATGATGCCCTCACTTGTGTCATAACATATTTGCTGTCCTTCAGTCCAATGCTTTAATCTACTTAGCAAATAAATTGAGATACTGGTATTCGGAATCTAGAATGGACTTCGGAATCTAGAATGGACAATCTAGATGGGAGTTGAGTTGATAAAAGTATACAATATTTACAATACAATTAAACACTAAAATCAAAGCTAGATCCACTTCTAAATATACCATACTTGTACTGTATCAGGGTGTACTGTATTTGAGCACTCATGTAAAACTGCATTCCGTATAATTTTCCAGATAATCTTACGGAATATTTAACAGGTGGTTAAATGTTCAAACAATTTACTAGTATCTATTTTCTTAATGTTTTTCTTTTCAGCAAATCGCTATTAGTAGGTAAGACACTATAACATATATATATGTGTGTGTATATATATATATATATATATATATATGTTATAGTTTAGTTTTGGCCTTCCTGTTTACTTGTTTAGTCTGTTTATTCTAATCTCACCCAGCCTAATGTTTCCAATCATGCTTGCATGAAATTCTCACTTTATACCATCTAGCTTTTCTACCCTCACTCACTCGCCACTGCAGAGGAAGGACTAGTGTTGTCCGAAAAAGCTCTGGTTCTATTTCTGGCTGTTTACTTACGTTTACTTTTTAGCTGTTGCTTATCATTTTTGTATCTCTACTGAGATCCAGCCATTGTTGTTTTTCAGTATTTTGCCTTTTAATCTATTTGTACACTGTTTTTTCATTGCTTTTGCATTTTATTTTACTTGGAGCATACATGCAAACCCACTCTTCAATATATATTATTATTGTTACTGACAAGATACCAGAATATATTTAATGTAAATAAACATTATGCTATGAAATCAAATAACATACCAAAAAGTACAATATTCTATCACTTAATTACTTTAAACAAATTATCAACAGTTTCTATTGGCGTTAGCACTTCACATACCTGGGCATATATCTTTTCTATGATTGATCGTTGTTTTGCAAACTCCCTGAAATAAAACAGAAATTTAAAAACTGTAAATAAAGTACAATACAATAATGATAAAAATTATTGAATATTAATCTGGATGCAATATGTAATAATATTCACCATAATTTTTGGATTACCAAAAAAGAAAATACACACTGAATGTAGTGAGGATAAAGGTGAACAAGGAAAAATTATTCATCAAAAAATTGTTGAGGTAAACTAAAAGTGAAACTTCCAATATACTGTTGAGGATGAGTCTAATAGATGAAATTGCAGATCACCTCTGTAACAGTTATCTAGTCAATTATCTAATGATAGATCTAATTGGTTTAACTGTAAACCTTTTTAAACATGTGCAAATTAAACTGTACATTCTTTTCTCATCCCTAATACACAGTGGGATATCTATGGTGTCTTGAAAAGGGGGCAGAGGGGGGTCGCAAAAATGAAGTGGGAGCTTGATGGGTACTGTAGGCAAGGGATTGCTAGCTTGCAAAATGCTAGCTTGCAAAATAATGTGATTTGAGGTGATTTTTAACTACTTGAGCGGGATTTGGGGGGGTGGGTCACAAGTTTTTTGGGGGTGTGTCCGCCCCCTGGCACACTCACTAGATACGCTACTGTTTTCCTCATACCCTTTACATCCTCTAACAGTACCTCTCCGGATGTGCAATACTACAGTAAGTTTATAACTGTCTACCAAAGCCGAATGAATAATCCTGAAACAAATCTGTATAAAATTCAATACAGTATTACTTGTAGGCCTACTGTAAACTCGTATAAGCTTCAAATTGAAAGTTAAACCAATAAAATAGTTAAATAGACAGTTTTAAAAACTGCATTTTAAAACTTGTATTCACTTACCAAAAAAAAAAAAAAAAAAAATCTAAAAAAAAAAAATTCTTGTTTTAAATTTTTAAAAAATAAAAATATAATAATAATCTAATAGTTTCATCACTACAATGCCAGGTTTCAGCCAAAAAAAAATTTGATGCATTTTATAAAACATTGTTAAAGTGGTTTAGAAGAAAGAATCGGCTGGTAAGATAAAGATATTTCATATAAAAACTGGCAAAAAGTGGGCATAACATATCTTAAATATCTTAAACACCTAACTTACTGTAGGTAATCAATGGAAGGATTTTTCTTAGTCTATAACTATAAAAAAAAAAATAAAAAAAACTGAATTCAGACTCAATATTTTTAGTGGCAGAAACAGTTCAAATGTATTGATTTTCTAGATTTCATTCAGCTAAATTTACGTGATTTTAAGTCTTGTCCATTTTAGGACGTGTTCTTAGGCACGTGGTAAGGAAGCAGCTGCACCAATTACATTAACATCATTAGCTATAATCAAGGAAGGATGTTTTTTTTTTTTCTAAATATTGACTAGTTTCTTATTGAGTCACTGAATTGGAAAAAATTCTAAAAATAAGTCTTGTTATTATATATGGCAAAGCAAGCACATTCTTTCCTTGTCCTCCACTCTAGCATACATCCAATACAGTACTCCTAAAACTTGTTAACCGTGTGTTCACATATCTACCGTATTATATCAATTATTGTTTTAGTTATTGTGAATCAACATTTTCGTAATTGTAAAGGTACACATTTGTCTGTTTGTACATTTGTGAAAACGCTGATAATTGTTAACGACCTCTAACTAGTCAACAAAAATAAGCCAACTTGTAGTTAAAACTGCACATGCCCGTTCGTGGTCAATCAACATAAATACCATACACAGAGATCCCAAGTTTGAAAACCAAAAAATAGGGAGATTTTTTTCATGAAGCGATCGCCTCCTGTAGCGACGCACTGTGACGCCTTACAATGCGCTGTGCAACATGAAAGTATTACACAAAATGAAGAAAACAAACAATTTTCATCAATTTGTTTACTTTTATTTTGCATTTGTTTACACATTGAAGTTGGCCTAAAATATAAATTTATAAATATTAATATTTATTTAGCATTTTGCTAGTAAAACGTTCTTGGCAGCAGTCAACCAGGCTTTGCTTGGTTCATTGGCATATTAGAGGCTATGGCTGATTTATTACATCTCATCAAAGAACATAGAATTCTAGCAAGGTAACTGCAACTTGCAAGATTCACACGTTTGCTGAAAAATTAAAATATATATATATATATTTTAATTTAGTTAGTAAATCATACAACATGTTTTAAGTCAGCATTTATATATGTCTAGCCTATAATAACTGGTACATAATGCCATGAAAAAACATTAAATCCTGCCTCGCTAGGCTCCATCTATACGTGCGTAACTAGGTCTAAGGCCGCAGAGTCGCGACCACCACTACACACAGACGCCCACCCAACACAACACACATACAGTACATACCCTGCAGTGCAGATAGAGCCTAGGCCTAAGCCCTACATGTATTTCGGGATCGATATTAAAATAAACTTCATTTTTCGGAAGACTGCTTAGGACCAAAACCTATTAACTATAATTTTTAGTATTGTTATTAAAGAACTGAAGCTTACTTGAAAGAAAAAGTATTTTTTATGCACCGATTCTCTTCCAAATCTTCGCGGCGAAAACTTGGGGCCCCATCCATTCCCATTGTGATTTCTGATTTCGTTAATTTGTTGAAATTTATTTACTCAACTGACAGCCATCTCATTGAATGAGGTCGGCGCTGAATGGAAAAGATCGTAACATGGAGGATAAATAAGGAGGTTCTACCACGCCTGCCTTGCCCTGGAGTTGTTATTTTGATAAACAACTCCCTGGCCTTGTTTATGACATTTTATGGCTGAGCGAGTGCCATAGTATATTGGCTTAAGATAAGAATTTTTGTTTCATTGCTCTATGACATCGTGGAAATCACATTTTTCGTGAAATTTTCGGGATATTTTTAAAAATCGGGAGATATTAATAAAAATCGGGAGGGCGGGAGACGGCCTCAAAAATTGGGAGAAACCCGCGATTTTCGGGAGACTTGGGATCTCTGCATACACATAACATAGTTTATGTCCATTGACCTTGCATCTGGGCATGCGCAGTTCTAACTACGAATTGCCTTATTGAATGTAAATGTTTAAATGACTATTATGTTTTTTTTTTTACTTCATTAAAGATTCATTTTATAATAATATTGCAGTTTGGATGTTGATATTTTGTTGATTTCAATTAATTAAAAGTTACCTTTCTGATTTCCATGCCCACTGGACTTTCGATGTACCTTTTTTACTTATTAATAAGATTTAATACTAAAAGCTCTTAAATGAGCATGGTATAAAAAATAGATACACAAACAGAAACAGAAGAGTTAAAGCAATAGAAAATGCAGCATGGTATCCAGAACAACAACAAAATAAAGTAATGTAAAAATATAAAAATCATGATTTAAATATCGAAGGTTAGCCTTAGCTTTAAAATATGAAGAAGTTGCTACTACTAGGGACTGCAAGTTCAGACAATTATTCATTTAATGCTCTTGAATCATAATTAGCCTGATTAAGTCATTAATCTGTTTCGCTATACAGTTTCAACCATCAAACTGCTATCAAACAAAAGGCGATTTACAGGTGGAGCCTTTTAAATAAGTTCACTCAATAGAACATACAAAGTGGATTAATAATTATTACTGCAAATCAAAATACAATGTGGTTTAACTGCAGTGCAAAGCCAAGTGTTATGGTGAAGCGAAGGCAGTAAAATGAGATTAATGTTTCTATGTAAAGTACATAATAATGTTTACATTCTAAGCAGAAATTGACAGAAATACAACCCATAATGCCTGTCTACAATTGCAAGTCTTTACTACACAAAGTCAATAATAAAAATGATGGAACTCTACTTTATAAAGTTTGTTTTTTGTGATTCAGGACCAGCAGTGTGAAGTTGTGGACCCAGGAATTTTTTTGCCAGGTTGGGCAGGGTGAAATTTCCAATCGAAGAGGGTGTTGATATACAATACTAGATTTTTATTCTCTTAAAATTTGTTCACACTTATTTAGATTTTTTGGTGTTGAGAGACAAAGTGCTACTTTTTTCCCTGGATCTGTCACTATGAAAGTGACTCACTGAAAACATACATCACTTGCAGTCAAATCTACACAAATTACAATATAACCTTTTTTATATGCTTTACACTTTGTCCAAGATTATTAAAGTATTAACATAGAGAATTTTCCAATTATATACATTATGATTTTCATCAATTATTTAATTTATTCTTCCCGCATACTGTTCTGTTTTGCTCTTCTGTGAAGGATGTGTCTGCACATAAAAAATTCATCATGTTAAATCTTAAATAATGTATACATGATATATGACATGGAATACTGTATACTGTACTGTACTTGGTTTCAAAGTCATAAATTAAAATAATAAACAAAAATTCAGATCATAATTTAAGTAATAAATAATGATACTTAATTTATAATATTTAGTTTTAATTGTAATTATTACAGTATTATAGTAAAATGACAATAATAATAACAATAATAATAATAATATTAATAATAATATTAATAATAATAATAATAACAATAATAATAATAATAATAATAACAATGATAATAATATTAATAGTAATAATAATATTCCTACAATATTTTTATATCTTGTGGTATTATATTTTAGATATTGCTGTAATTTTTGCCTAAAAGTGGAAACAAAGCCTCCCTGTTGGACGATTGTTTGAAATAAATGTTTCTCTTGGCCTAGTGAATCATAAACTCAGCCAAAGTTGAACTTTCTACAAAAAGTAGAAAACAAGTCTTGTATTCTTGCTGACAAAATACAATGTAGTCGAACCTGCACATACACGTCCTGAGTGCCCATCTCTCTTTCTTAAGCGTTGGGGCTAAACTGTGCAATGCTTTGAGTGGATCGCCACTCCCCCCTCACAGCGAGTCTGATTACTTTCCCAGCATATGCCAGTACCCATTTCTACTCCTGGGTAGAGAGAGATAAAAGCAGCAGACAAAGTGTTCTTGCCAAAGGAGACAAGCAGCTTGCAACTCAAGGACCAGAAACACCGAGCACGA